CATGTCTCTACTTTTACAGAACTCGTGAACCTGATGCTTGTTGAAGAATTCTTGAGACGTGTGCCGCCTCCTGTCCGCCTCTACTTAGCAGATAAAGAAGAAACCGACTACCTGAAGTGTGCTAAGTCGGCTGACACTTACAGCCTCATCCACCGGCTGACACCTGAACCATCCTCCAGTAAGAAGTCGTGGTACAGTTACGAGAAGGTGAGCCCCGATCAAGCTGGTTCACAACTGTACTGCAAGTATTGTAGACTCTATGGACATACCATAGACAAGTGTGGTAAGTCTCAATACAAGGGAACCACTGACCAACAACGACCCAAACCAACTCCTCCTAAGTCCGGTAAGCCTGTGATGAATGTTGGTGTTGATGTTAATGATCTTTCTCTTTTCAGTAACCACCTGTATACTGGAACTGTCTCTGCCAACGGTTCAAATCCGGAGGGACGTTTCAAATTGAAGATCTTGAGGGACACAGCGGCTCTACAATCGATCATCTTGAAGTCGGCTGTGCCCAACATAGTCTACACCGGGGAAACGGTCTTCATCACTGACCTCACTGCTACTACTCCATACCCTCTCGCCAGAGTCCACCTGGATTGTCCCTACGTGAACGGGGAAGTCCAAGTCGCCGTCAGGGAAAAGCCTTTTCCCATGCCTGGAGTGCAACTTCTCCTAGGCAACGACTTGGCAGAAGACCTGCAACCAACCAACCTGATCGTCATGGACAAACCCCAGGTGTGTAACTCTGTGCCAAGTAACCCTATTCTCGAGTATGTTCCAGCAGAGGTTCAAGAGAGTGATGAAGTTTCTCCTCCGGTTCTCGTGACCACCCGTGCACAAGCCGCACGTCCACAGCCAGCTGACTCTACTGCTACCGCTGTCCCTCAAGACCCTCAGAAACTACCCCCGCATCTGACCAAGTTGGAGTTCCGTAAGTTGCAGAGGGAAGATCTTACTTTAACACCATTGTTTTTCCAGGCTGAGACTCAACCCGACAGTATTCCTGGGTTCTTCCTAGAGAACGACTTGCTCTACCGCAGATATAGACCCAGTAAACTGAAGGAGGAGGACGATTGGGCCAACATCGAACAACTTGTGATTCCCACCAGCCTGCGGCCCACTATTCTACACCTGGCCCACGGAGCATTCTCCCACTACGGCTTCAACAAGACTTACCATGGGATTCGTCAAGACTACTACTGGCCAGGTATGGTAAATAACGTCAAACAGTACGTAAAACAGTGTCATACATGTCAGATGGCAGGCAAACCGAACGTCTCCATTCCCAGAGCACCACTGATTCCCATACAGGTGCCTGCGGAACCTTTCCACAGACTCATAATAGACTGTGTTGGTCCTTTACCTCGGACCAGTTCAGGTAACGCCTACATCCTAACCATCCTGTGTCCTACCACCAGATTTCCCATAGCAGTTCCAGTGAAGAACATCACGGCTGCTACGGTTATCAAACATCTATTGAAGATCTTCACTCAATACGGATTTCCCAGGGAGATTCAAAGTGACTGTGGCACCAACTTCACCAGTGATCTCTTCAAAAGAACACTGGAGGAGTTCAACATCAAACAGGTATTGTCCAGCCCCTATCATCCTGCTTCACAGGGTTCTCTTGAACGTAGTCATCAGACCATCAAAGCACTCTTGAAAAAGTTTTGTAGTGAAACCTCAAAGGATTGGGATAAGCAGATTGACCTAATAATGTGTATTTTCAGAAGTCTCCCCAATGAGTCCCTAGGAGTATCTCCTTATGAGATGCTCTACGGCCGTAAGTGCCGTACTCCCCTTAAGGCTTTCAAAGACTCTCTCAGAGATGCCACCTTCAGTGAGCATCAGAATGTGCCCCAGTTTCTTCAAAACCTTCAACACATTCTAGAGAGAGTCCACCGCTTTGCTCATGATAATCTATTGAAAGCCCAGGTGAGAATGAAGACTCATTACGACCAGACCAGCAAAGTAAGAAAATTCAAGCCGGGAGACTTCGTCCTTGCTTATTTCCCTATCCCAGGTTCACCTTTACAAAACAAATTTTCAGGACCCTACTGCGTCAAAGAGTGCAGGAATAATAATAATTATGTGATAGAGACTCCAGATAGGCGGCGGAAGACCCAGCTGTGCCACGTCAACCTCCTGAAGCAATATAATGGTACTCCTCCCACTGTCTTGATTAACTATTCCACATTCACAGAACCCTACATCCACAGTGAGACCTTCCCAGCTTCTCCTCCCGAAAGCACTGACAAGGAGTCAGCGCTTTCTAATTCCGAAATCCTTAATGATCTTCCCAAATACTTTCAGGATAATCATAGTGCACCTCTCGTCAAGATCTTCAGAGAACATAAAGAGTTGTTCAGAGATGATCCCCAAGAGTGTAATGTTACCCAGCACGACATCCAACTGCTCCCCGACACCCGGCCGATTCGTCAACCCTTCTACCGAATCAGCCCGAGCAAGAAGGAAGTCATGCGTGCTGAGGTGCAGTACCTCTTGGACCATGGACTGGCTACACCTTGTGAGTCCCCCTGGGCCTCACCTTGTATCTTGGTGCCCAAACCCCAAGGTAAGGTGCGGTTGTGCACTGACTATCGTAAACTGAACTCTGTCACTGTCAAGGATGCTTACCCCTTGCCAAGGATAGATGACATCCTTGATGCCATTGGTAGTGCCCAGTACTTGTCCCAAGTGGACTTGCTTAAGGGGTACTATCAAGTGTGTCTAACGGAGCGCGCTAAAGAGATATCTGCCTTCATCACTCCTTTTGGACTTTTCAGATATGAACGCCTTCCTTTCGGACTATGTAATGCCCCGGCCACCTTTCAAAGAGCTGTCAACCGTGTCATCCAGGGCTTGGATAACACATACGCCTACCTGGACGATATCGTCGTAGCCTCCAACTCCTGGAGTGAACATCTGCTCCAGCTGCGACGTCTGTTCTCCAAGCTCCTGACAGCCGGCCTCACCATCAACCTGGGCAAGTCCACTTTCGCGAAAGGTAAAGTGCGTTATCTGGGTCATGTTATTGGGAGTGGCAGCATAGCTCCGTTAGACTCACACACTCAAGCCATCCTACAGTATCCACAGCCTACCACCAGGAAGCAGCTCCTGCGCTTCCTTGGTCTTGCCTCTTACTACCGTAGGTTTGTGAGGAATTTCAGTACAGTCGCCACACCTCTAATTCTATTAACCAGTCCCAAGCAACGGTATAATTGGACCATGCAGCAAACCGTTGCTTTCGAACAACTCAAATTCCTCCTCTGTTCTAACCCCATTCTCGCCTCTCCAGATATCACCAAGCCTTTCGTCCTTCATGTCGACGCCAGTGGTACCGGCGTTGGTGGTGTCCTGATGCAACAACGAGGCGAGGAAGTTCTACCTGTCAGCTACTACAGCTACAAACTGAAACCACACCAGAGGAACTACAGCACTATTGAAAAGGAGCTACTATCCATCGTCCTGAACCTCCAACACTTCGCTCCGTACCTACAAGGCGCCAGGTCTACCACCATCTTCTCAGACCACAACCCTCTCCGCTTCCTACATCAAGCCCAATTCACCAACCAGCGTCTTCTACGATGGGCTCTGTATTTACAAGACTTCAACCTGGAGATCCGCTATATCAAGGGTTCTGACAACACCATAGCCGATGCCCTCTCCAGAGTTTATGAAGTAGAAGCGACTCCATCCATTACTCCACCACATAACGACGTACTTCTTCCAGAACCGCAGGCTTCGGGGGAGAGTTGTGACGATAATCTCCTTCAAGAGATTGAGCCTGCTCTTCCCTCCAAAATTACGTCTTCACAATTATATAAAAAGACTATGGAAGAAATGTCCAACAACGACAACAACACCAGCAAGGCTTGCAAGGGTGAGCAGAAACGTATGCAGCCCGCCACCTGTTCGGACCCAAATCACCAAACTACCCGTTGATCACTACGGCTCCGCTGATTGGTCGCCGGTCTGGCTGCACCTGCACTCGCCCCCCAATACTACCCGATGTCTGGGGTCGCCCCAACATCAGTCTTCAGAATGTTCCGTGCTTTCGTAGCCAGCACACCTCCCAGCTAGACTCTAGAGTGTACTGAGAGAGGTGGTGGCTTTAAGCCAATATTCCAGCACCTCCCACTTACTGTTGTATTGCACTTCTTGTTATTTTGCCTTAACGTAACTTTTCATTTTGTCATTTAAGAATTCTTATTATTTTGATTCATTGATTTTATTATAAGAATTTGTTTGTGCATTATTTTCATGTTTTGATTTATTTAACGTCATTAAAATTTCATTGTTAAAGTTTTACTTGTGTTTTGTGTGTCTTCTCCTTACCTTACCACAGACGAAGTTCCAGTTTTTCTATTTTTTTTTATAACTATGTGACGAGGCCATACCCCTAGCCTTAAACAGCCGAACACCAACGCGTTACCGTCACAATATATATATATATATTTTTTTTTTAACATTATTAGGCGATGCTGTGGTCACAATGCTGAACAGCAGTGCTGTGAGCTCATGCTACATGCGCCAGCCTTGGTTGCTCACTCAGTACTGAGGCTCTCACACCCTAGAATGTGGCCCACGATTTTTTTAAAGATGGCGTCTGTTTACAGGAGCCCTGAGGAAGCTGATGTGAACCCCACGTAGCCACAGGAGCTTTGAATGGAATGCTAAAAATATAAATACCCGGAGGCGAGTTGCGCACCCCCTGTCAAGGGCCTGCAGGCGCATTGTGCAGTTGAGGGGTTAATATCAGACGCTGAAGCCTAGATTTAACTCAAGCATTACAATGTGAAATAAAAAACTTAAATAGGAATATATGCATAGTTATAGTTTTGAGCAAATATTTTGTGAAATAATTAAAGTACTGCACACAAATATTGGCATTATTGCCTGTATAATAGTACTAAAGAATGTAATAGAAATATACTTATTAAAAAACTGGGGACAGACAAAATAATAAAAATGTTAAACATGGGAACACATACTTTACACAATTGCCAGGCTCTGGAGGAGAACACTGGCTGATGCCTTGATAGATGGAGAAGAGGAGGACGACAAGTGAGGCCAGCCGTAGGAACACTGTGCGGATCAGTGTCAGCACCAATATAAAGTTGGGTGTATAATGTTCTAACTCAACAAGCATCCTGAAAAAAATGAGCACTGAATGTAATGAAACACCTCTTTCTGGGTAGACCTCGACGGCTCCCTGTGGCATAAGAACAATTAGGCTAAAAAACATAAGTCATATCAGCCCTAGGAGTCTTGATAACCTACCAGAGGCAAGAAACTGCCCCCCCCCCCCAGTTTCTGACTCTGGTATTTCAATAACATCACATGAGACCAAAAGGCATGGCAGGATATGCAAAATACCCTTGTTGAAAAGTAGATGTGCAATAGATACTCTGAGAGCGAGCTCTATCAACAACAGAGGCTCAAGACCGTTCAACACACTTCCACTACACACAAGGAGCATAACTGGCCGACCCGACTCCTCACAGTATTCAAGAGAGAACTCGATAAACACCTCCAAAGGATACCTGATCAACCAGGCTGTGATTCCTACATCAGGCTGCGAGCAGCCATGTCCAACAGCCTAGTTGGCCAGTCCAGCAACCAGGAGGCCTGGTCGAGGACCGGGCTGCGGGGACTTTGAGCCCCAAAATCAATGCAAGGTAACTGCAAGGTAACTGCAAGGTAACCGCAAGGTAAGTTCCATTTGGCAACTGACTTCTGTTTATGACTAACTTTTTACTGACTTCTGTTTATGACTAACTTTTTATGTACAGACCTCATTCTTGGATGCAACACAATACTATTTTTTTTTAGTAATTTTTCAATAAACTGGTGTGATGTTTAGTAAATTTATATTTTACATTGTTTATTTACATTGTTTACATTTACATTGTTTGTTACATTGTTATTAAATTACATATTTTACATACTTACATTGCCCAAAACGCATTGCGTAATAGTGGCTTTAGGCATTGTATGTACTAGCTCTATCTATATATCAATCCATTAATGTAACATCACTTGTATGTATGTACCTTACCTGAATAAACATATTTATTTATTTATTTATTATATTGAGATCAAAATTATGGTACAGGCCCAAAATGTGACAAACAAATATACAAGCCAAAATACAAGTGCAATCCAGTAGAGACTTTCCAAATTCTTAACAGTGCCATAAGAAAAATAACTACTATCTTTTGTACTCACTACCTGCCATATTCTTATCCCAATTTCAAAACTGAATAAGAAAACAATTATTTAATTCTAAATTTTGTTAATCCTGAATAGCTGAAAAGACTTCCCCTAGAGGACTCACCTGAGTAAGAAAGGGATGATGATGTTAAGTGTGACAATGACAGCAGAGGGGAGATACTCATACAAAAGGATCTTGAGTTTAAAAGATTCTTCCTGCAAAAAAAAAATGTTTACATCTTACTATAAAAAAATATTATTTTGTCAAAATTATTACTAAATTAAGTACTGTTCTGAAGTACTTACTTCCTAAGAACAGGAAGTACTGTTCTGAAGTGAAGTACATACTGAAGTAAGTACTTGAAGTACTTAAGTACTGAAACCTGTCACAAAATATTACTCTTAATTATTTTACTCACTCACCTGATATGATTTCCAATTACTGAACTGTATGAAATTGTTACCGAGTGCTTACCTATCAGCGGTTACGGGGAAGTGAGATGTAGCTTTTTATGCCCTGCATTCTAGCCACTTACATCTAGCATGCTAATTACCTCTCTCACCATTAACATTTTCATCAAATTTTTTCTTAAAGTTGTGGAAGGAGTTTGCTTCAACAATGTCTTCATTCAATGCATTCCATTTGCCAACCACTCGTACATAGAACAAGAACTTTCTTACACCTCTATGACTCAACTGCATGTCCAGCTTCCACTAATGTTCCTTTGCCCTACTTCTTTTTGATATAAATAGACTTGTCTATTTCCTTTGGGAACTTGTATGTATAACACGATCATATCCCAGCTGTTTCTTGTATATAGCGATTCATATTCCCTCTTTCATTCTCTCATCTAAGGTTCCAAGGATGAATTCTCTCAACTTGTTCTCATAGTTGAGTCTGCTCAATTCTGGTACCTGCCTCTGGGAGGTTATTTACATAAATTAGAAAAACCATTGGTTGTAGGCCAGAGCCCTGCAAAACAATTTTTCACTTCTCTCCAGCCTGCTTTATCTTCTCTGTCTATGATCCTTTGTTTCCTGTCCGTCAGGTACTCTCATACCTTACTGTACCTTTGCCTGTATAACATGGTCTACTGTCAACTTTACAAACAGTCACCTTGTTTAACATGTGCAGTCCTGTCACTTTCCTTTACTGACAGGAAAGTTCAGTACCTTTCCTGTTATCCATGCTTGTCTCTCCTTGTGTAGTAGTCTTTTGCAAGGAACTGTATTAAAAGCTTTCTGGTAGTCTAGGAAGACACAATCCATCCATCCTTCCCTTCTCTTGTCTTGTCTTCGTCTTATGTTGGTGACCCTGTCATAGAATTGAATAATGATTGTTAAGCATAATTCTCACCACCTTCTGAAGCTGTATTGTGCCTCTTTCTTTTTTTAATTTATTCCCCAAGTGTTCTATAATCCTTTTCCTGATGACTTTTTCCAGCATTTTGCATAGAATGTATGTTAATGACACTGGTCTATTAGTTTAGTGCTCCAGGTCTCTTCCCCTTTCTTGAAAATTACAACTACATTAATCTTCTTCCAGATTTCTGGTAGCCCTCCTGTCTATAGTGTAATGTTGAATCTGCAGCTTCCTTCAGTAACCATGGTAATGTCTAGTCCTATTGCTTATGCTACATCCAGCTTATCTAGGTGTCTTTTTACATCTTCATTAACTTAAACCTTTTTGCCAGAAAGAATTTAAGTAAAAAAATGACCCCCAGGACCAAGAGAGTACAATCCTTGCTTCTCAACCTGACAACCAGAAGTGAGGCTAAACAAAAATAAAGCCATGAAGAAACAATCCTGGACTGAAGGGGAAAACAGAAAACTGGGACAAGGAGGCAAGGAGAAAATCTTGAACATAGATCAAGATGGTTCAGGAGGAGCATTAGCAGGCTAGAAGTGAAAATATACCCAAGACATCTTGTAAAATATGGACAACTATACACCACCACCAAAAACCAACAGCAGCAGCTCTGCCAAGTCAAACGCTGCAAGGTGATAATTTTTAGCATGAGAAGCCTATCCATAAACAACTAAGACAAAAGGAGATAAAACTACAGATACTGAAACAAGAGTAAAAGTGACAAAGAGAGAGAAAATGGAAGGAGCTTCAAGAAGCCACATACTGTCACAGAGATGAAAGTTGCAGACGAGACACTAAAAGATGGGTCACCTATGGACCATACAAAAAGTGGTACATGCGTCAGAAACTGAAAATGTGTAGATCAGCAGAGAAGAACAAACCATTAAGAAATTGCTGAATTGTATGGTAGAAGGCTTCACCCAAAAGATGGTTGATATAGGACAGCGGGAATAATGAGAATAATGAAAATGTATACATATAATAACAGATTTGATGCAAAGAATAAGTCACAATAACGTGGCTGAAAATTAATAAACCAACCCACACACATGAAAAGAAAGTGATGTTATCACTTTCTTTTCTTATCAAGTGTGTTTATTGGAGTATTTACAAGTTAGATGATATATGCTTCTGATTATAATAATGCAACATCAATTACACTTGAGGAAGGACATTGTTCATCCTCATTTCTCTATAAACACACACATAACTTACCTCTGCACTCTCCTTCAAAACCTTGAGTTGGTTAAAGGCAAGAGAGGTGCTGTAGAAGATGGCAGAGAAGGAAGCACAGAGTAATGACAACACCACCATATTAACTAAGAGACGCACAAAGTACAATCGGCATCTGTTGGAGAGAACATGTTCATTACAAATACAATATACATAATTAATATTTTGCTTCTTGAGTACAGGGTAATTTCTTGCATGATACAAATATTTTGACTGCATTATATAATTATATTACTTAACTACTCAGTACACTATTGCAGCTCATTATCTCAACAATACAGAACAAATGAATCGCTATAGGGAAAGAACATATTGGTGGAAGATTGACTTAAAAATCAGTTGCTAAAAGTATTAAAGAGAAAAAGTTATTATAAATGAAACTATATTTTTTCATTTTTTTTTTTACATTTCAGTTTAATGTCTGAAGTTTTAATTATTGAGACTGTATGTGCTACATGTACACACTTTCAATAACGTTTTCTATACATTTTTTAAAAGAACACTGTGCATCTTGTCAAGTCTATTCTCTCGGCAGTTGACATCACATCTGTCTACACCTTATTTTGAAAAACAGCTTCTCTTACCTTTCTCTTTTGGTTCTCTGTTCCTTTTCATCATTATATCTCTCTGTCTCTAAGTGGTTACAGAGTTCATTATATATTGCTTTCTTTTTGATAGATGCCGCTTTGTTGTTCTCAATGCAGTAGTCCCAACCTCCAAATATTAAATTGCAGTACTAGGAAAAAATAAAAATATATTAACATACTGATAAGCCAGGCAATGTTCAGGGTAAAAAGTTGATAAAATCTAGCTTTGAGTGCACATAAAACACACTTTTCTGAATAGTAAACTCAGTTGCTTCCTTAAGGAAGATCCTACTTGCCTCTGGTAAGGATCTGACAGTCCTGGCAGTTCAATATTCCATATCAATTCAGTGAGAATCTTTTTCATACCTTCAATATCAGGTCACACTGGTGTTAGATGTATACAGTACTAGAGCCCATAAAATTTCAGCCAAAAAATATAAATAGGAAAGTGGTTTACATAGATTCCAAAGCATATCCAGGCATAACTTAGCAACAGAGATTGCCAAGCTGTGATTGGCTAACTACCTAATCATCGACTAGGTCATTAACCTAACTGCCACTTGGAGGCAAAGCTGCCCCCAAGTGGCAGTTAGGCTCAGTTAATAACTGAGTTTATTATGATTCAATATGATACAGTTGTCTGTGTTGTATAAATAAATATATCTTATTTATTTTCATTCAATAGGGTACATTTTTGTGTATGTTGAGGAGGGAGGGAGGGGGGAAAAAGAGATAGATAGACAGATATTTTGTTTTTTTGGGGAGTTATTTTTTCTTGACTTCATTTGTACACACATTGACCTACAACTTTCACATACTTGAGTATGAATGCCAAACAATGTTTATTACAACATAAAAATAAATTCATGAATTAGAACTGCCTTATTCATTGTCGATAACTTCAACTTCAATTAAATCTACAACTAGAATTTCAACTTACTTAATTATCCAAAAATCTAGTTTCTGACTAGATTCTCAACATTTTTACATATAGTGTGCACAGCTGTCTGATCTACAATCCCTACATATTTGATTTTTCATAAACTCTAAACGTTTGGAGGTTTAAATGTTTGTTGTCTAAATTTGCGCATATTTCAAATGCCATATTGACAATTTTTTTTTTACAGTAAACTATACTGAAAACCTATATTCTAAATATATGAAAATGAAGATCATATGCTATTTTGAGAGCATAATAACACCAAATGAACACGTGGTGATACAGGTATTTTTATATTTTTGCAGCCGATTTCAAAATCTGAAGTTTTCAATATTCAATTTTATAATTATTTTTTATGTTCTTGTTTTTCAAGTTACACTGGTATCATTTAGACAAATTTTGAGCATTTGCCTAGTAGATTATTCACAAAACATTTAAAAAGAGTTTCAGAAAATTTTAAGAACCGAGTTCAATGTCACACATCATATGAGGTTTTGCGCAGTTTAAGGGTTAATTGGATGAACACAAAGGCTCTTATAACAAAATTCCAATGAATGAGGACCTGATATAAATTTAAAAAATGAGAATATAGATAAATAAACCAGTGTTGAATGTAATGAAATGCCAGTTTCTGGGTGAGCCCCAAAGGCTCCCTGAAGCTATCATACTGTACACTGATCAGTGCCATCAGTCGCGGAGTTCTATTTGCCTACCAGGGACGTCAAGCCAGAAACTGGCCCCCCCAATCAGAGAGGTGCAGGGAGCGATAGCCTATAATCACTTTACATTTAAAGGTTATCATCTTGTCACCACCTAGTGATGGAACCCAGAAAGACAGGCAAATCAAAACAGATTACTGCATGTTCTAAAGAGATATCACAGCCCAAAAATTGCCAAAATAACTTTGCAATAGTGAAAACAACCAAAATTGTGTGAAACTAGCCCCCCCTGCTAGTTTGATCCACCCCCACCCCTTTCTAGCTGGGGGAAGGAGGGAGCCGGTCCAGATCAGCCGAGTTCCCCACTGGTCAGTTCTAGAATGATAAAACATGCCAACAACCTGAGGGAGGGAGGGTGTCAGGATGTCTCCGAGGTTCACCCAGAAACTGGAGTTTGCTTATGTTTAATGTTGGTTTTCTCTGGGGAAGCACCCTTCGGCTCCCTGAAGCTAACTACCCACAGAGATTTCTGGACTTTTACAGAGGAATGAGTGAGTTGGAGCGCATGGGAGGAACAAATCCCACATGACTTGGGGTCGAAAGTGTCACTGACTCAACAAGCAACATGGTGGAAGTAGAATGTATGAATGTCCCCTGGTGGCACAGGCAACTGACAATCCTCAAATTTGCACAAGGCAAGAGCAGACTCCTTTCAAGTAGTATGGCACTGATCAGTGAATGATAGCTTCAAGGAGTTTCCATGGTTCCCCACAGAAAGGACACATTTAGAGAAAGAATTCTATACATTCTATGTGTAGCTCACTTTACAATATATTTAAAGAGTTTGCACTTTTTATATTTTTCAGAATCCACACAAGAATTAGGATCAACCTTCACAAGTGTATGTGAAGAAAATCAGGACTTTATTATTTCAAGTTATGGTCAGCTAATTACATCAAACTGACAATTATATTAGCATAAACTGTACAATAAGATCCTACCCTCCTTCAACACCATCTAGCCTCCTCCATAAATGAGAAAAATGTTTCTACAGCATTGTTGAGTATTCAAATAAATACACTACTGTATTTATGACTAGGATGTGCTTATGTATTGTGTTCCATATTTCATGTTTTGCTGTGATAGGAGTGAAAAAACAGACTTTATAAGATCTTTAGAATGCGTCCCTATTTTTTTCATATTACTAATTTTAATTTTAGTTGTTTCAATTTGCATGTAACTTGGCTAGAACATATGAACTTTGATAGTTTACTATATAGGTATTAAGCTATATACAGTACTATGAAAAACTAAATACAGTACCTGTAAAGGCTACAGATTTAGTTTACCTGATAAAACTGTCCCTCTGATGACCTGAGACTCTCTCTCAGACCACGAGCAGCTTCGCGCACCATGAGTACTAGACTAAGGACTAGTGTCACCACCACCACTAACAGGTATGCTAATGGCAAATTATATTTCCAGTCTCGAGATTCAATAAGGGTTAGTTTATGTCTTGGATATGAACCATAAAAAAGATATGAAAGTTCCAGCACACCCGTTCCTTGAACGCCATCTTGCACCATCTGGATAACATCAAGAGTGTCATTTTTTTTAGATTTTTTGTTGAGCACATGTTTCCGGTATTCGTCATAGCAGCAGTTGGTTTGGTTATCATAATCGAAGGATGTGCCATTATCGTCACCCAGAATAGGATTGATCTCCGTGCTGCAGTCATCCTACAGAAAGGTAAAAGTACACTATGTAACACACACTTGTATATACATGTAGACAGGCAAATTTTGTTAAGAGATAATAAAAGTACAACTTACGTATGGACGTCTATTATATGGATTTGTCCCATAATTAGTCACTAATTTCAGTTCAATTCACAATTAGTGTGTAAGGACAGGCCTTTTAAATAGTATATTAGTTTACCTAGCTTGCCATGAGAGAGCTCTGATACCACTGTTACACTATTTTGACACGCCATCTTAATACCAAAATACTAATTCCCTGTGGAAGCATTTAATAACACTAATAATGGTTCAGTAAGTGTTTCAGCTAGCAATTAAAGCAAGAGAAAATATAGAAAATATACAATTCAATTGTCAATAAATATGTATGTATATATAAATATTATATATATATATATAAATATTATATATATATATATATATATATATATATATATATATATATATATATATATATATATATATATATATATATATATATATATATGTCGTACCTAGTAGCCAGAACGCACTTTTTGGCCTACTATTCATGGCCCGATTTGCCTAATAAGCCAAGTTTTCCTGAATTAATATATTTTCTCTAATTTTTTTCTTATGAAATGATAAATCTACCCTTTTCATTATGCATGAGGTCAATTTTTCTTTATTGGAGTTAAAATTAACGTAGATATATGACCGAACCTAACCAACCCTACCTAACCTAACCTAACCTATCTTTATAGGTTAGGTTAGGTTTGGTAGCCGAAAAAGTTAGGTTAGGTTAGGTTAGGTTAGGTAGGTTAGGTAGTCGAAAAACAATTAATTCATGAAAACTTGGCTTATTAGGCAAATCGGACCTTGCATAGTAGGCTGAGAAGTGCGTTCTGGCTACTAGGTACGACATATATATATATATATATATATATATATATATATATATATATATATATATATATATATATAAAACACACATACATATCCTACACATGCTCTTGGTCTCCCCTATTAATCAAATAAACTCAAAACTACTTGCTTCCAAGAATTTAAGGTAAGCCTAAATTTCTGTAAAAATAATCTTGATACATACATAAGAGATATAGCTTTCATTGAGAAAGGCTCACCTTTGGATGTGTGAGAACAATCTGTGGCACAAGAATGAACACAGCTAACAAGACACAGGTGAAGAGATTCAGGTACAGCAGCCACTTAATGAATGTAAAGAAAGCCACAAGGCCTGTGCCAAAATTTCCTTCTACGTAACGTAAACTCCAATAACACAATTCTATCTTCGAAATCATCTCTCGTAGCCTATTCTTTGCCTGTACAAAAAGATAAATTTTATTACGATTTTGTAACGTTAAAATTACAGCATACAATATATATAATTTGGCCACTGCATCTAGTCGGTCTGTTGAAGATAAGAAATCTATGGATTATGAAAGGCCATACTACTGTACTTCAATTAATAATGTTTTCCTAGTGGATTTTTAATATGATATACTATAATTTGATTTTACCAATGCACGAAACCAATCAGTGCAAAAGTACACAGGTGCTTCTATAAATTAAATCTTAAGACCTTAAAAGAATTTCAGTAAACCCAAAGATTTTTTTTTTTTACGATATGGAGATTAAATTAGTAGTCTTCTTGGTATATTCAGTGAAAAGTCTAACTAAAAACTCAATTTTCCTCTACATTGTCTTGTAGAGTTGGTTGGGGAAACACTTACTTACTTTTCAAGTTGCATTATGCTCCAAATAGTCAAATGTGGCACTATTACTCTCTCATCTATCCTTATCTCAATTATGGTATTTGTGCTTGGAGTTCTACTATCCAAAATCCTCTACGTCCTCTAATTAGTCAACACAAAGCTGCTATTAGAACAATATCAAACTCTGGCCCCAGACAGCACTCGGTACCCTTACTTAAATCTTTGAATATGTTAGATATTAAGTCACTGCACATCCTCTCAAGTGTACTCTATATTTTTAAAACTCTGAACTATAATGCAAATCCTGACCTTAAATGCTTCCTAGAAGGTTGTAACAGAACCCATGGGCACCACACCAGAAACAAATACCTATTTGATATTCCAAACGTGGGCCTTAACCAAACTAGAAATGCTCTACAAATCAAGGGACCTAGAATGTGGAATGACCTTCCCAATCATGTCAAAAGCTGTACCTCTCTAAACCAGTTTAAGAGAAAAACTAAGTACTACCTAATAAACTCCATGTAACCAACCTTACCCCATAATTGTCACACCGTCTTGCTTATTTTCAAACAATACTGTTTGTTGACCAACTTGTTTAATTGCTGATTTCTGCCATCACCCCCCCCCACCCTTTTCAACACAATTTATACTTTAATCTCAATTAGTATTAAGTTGTAGTCTAAGTGGGTTTTTTCTCCATACTTTGCCCGAAATGCTCTACGTATTAGTGGCTTTAGGATTTGTTATATTATACTCTCTATAAATCCAACATTATATTTGTAACTCATCTTCTATGAATGTACTTTTACCTGAATAAACATTTGAATTTGAATTTGAAATATTTAGTTGTTAATTGTTTTCACATAAAGCATATTTTTTATTCCACCAAGTATCTATGAGTCACATTTGTATGTCCTATCCTGAATTTGGACAGAGTTATTTATGTACAGTATTTATTTTTTGCATGTTGGGAAAATTAAAAAGGTTTGGTAGGTTTAAACCCTAACTTATTTCCTTTGGTATTTTAATTAATGTTGAAATTTTGCATTTCACTTGACAGCACACTTGGTAAAGGTTGCATGATCAAAGAATCCAAGTAATTTACAGTATTTTGTAGATAATGGAAAGCACTTAATTTATTTTAAATGACAGTTTACTTGCTAAATCCTAGCCTGAAATTAAATTATTCAAATAAAAATGAAATACAAGACAGTAACCATACTGCATTATTAAACAAATATTGAACTGTAATGCATATACTGTAGTTACCTGAATATAACTTAAGAATTCATACCTGTGTCCAAAATTTTCGCCTTGACAACTTGAAGGCTGCCAGACCACGCGTCCTCAGTGTTGGAGCCGATTGGAGTGTTCGTTTAAGTTTTCGCTTCTCTTCCATGGGAACAGCATGTGCTCGAATTTGCTGAAGTTTTTCCCAAGTCTCCTCTTCATCTACTCCTACAGTAGATGTCAAAATGTTATAGTGTACAGTATTAATATTGCAGTAATAATTTTAACTCAAATTACTGTAAGTACAGTACAGTACTGTGCAATCTTTAAATCCCATAAGATTCCCCTCACTATCTCATTTTTATAAAATGTACAGTATGAAGCTTATGATCAGTCATGAATCCTGACATTAAAGAATGGCAAGAGGATATAATGTACATGGTACAATGTTATTTATGCATGCTTGAACATACTCTGTAAGTGTACTACTTCACTTAGCATTTACTTTTAAAACCATGGATGTATTTGACTTCCACCTATATCAGACCACGTGTTTGCAAAATGCTTGCACTCACCTAACCACCTACTTGATCATCCACCTGCAACCCCACCTAACCATCTGGCCTGACTATCTGCCCAAACCCCTACCTGCCAACCACCAGAAGCAGGCAGACCAAGAATGGAGCTTATATTTCCTCCAAAGTCCAGGGACCAGGAAGAAGAAATAGATTGGGCACCAACTAGAGAAACCACTGAAATATGAAAAATCAAATGCCAAATACCAGACACTGGTGTCTGAGGCAACTATATGAGTAACCAGGAAGTCATATGCCCCACAGGGTATAGAATGGGCAACCCGTTCTCGCAAATTCGTAAAGTCAAAATTGACTTATTAAATAAGTGCATAGGTGACATACTAAACATAATAGATACCCTTAAAAAGCTTCATAGAAAACACCGACCTTACCTAACCTTGTTAGTATCTTAAGATAAGCATCTTATAGCTTCGTAATTACAATTGTTACTTAACCTATTATAGGTATAGGTTAAGTAATAATTGTAATTACGAAGCAATAAGATGCTTATCTTAAGATACTAACAAGGTTAGGTAAGGTCGGTGTTTTCTATGAAGCTTTTTAAGGGTATCTATTATGTTTAGTATATCACCTATGCACGTAGTTAATATGTCAATATTGACTATACGAATTTGCGAGAACGGGTTGAGAATGGGGCAAAGAATCGGCAGGCATGTCTCAAGGAGCCAAAGGGAAAAGAGAAGGGAAAGTAGGCTCCAAAGCCACAATAAGGGCCCCCATAAAGACATATTCTAGCAATCCCAGAACTGAGAGGGTTGGAATCAGAAGCTGTGGAATAGATCAAACCAAGAGCAATAGCCAAGAAGCAGATAAAACCAATTCAATTCATACCAGGTTCTTTGTACGAATTTGTAGGAGTCTAGATCCTGTGAGGATCAAGATTAATCCTGGCGAGCGTCGACTGAATCTTCTGTTTTCTATTTATATAGCACATTTTTATATAATACAATATTTTCCAGGAACATAACAACTGTACGGTGTTATGCAAGGGTTGACTATACAGTACTTGCTATGTTCAAAACTAGAATTGACTAAAAGTACCTATGCTATATGTTCCAAATCAAGAAAATACAACTACCTAACTACAGTATAAATATTACTATTACAGTACTGACAACTTCATTAATAATACAAAAATAATGTTTGAACCTTGCGTAAGATCTGGGAGAACTTCAAGGTACGTGTCTGACCCTCTTCTGCTGGTATGTACCAAGGTTGCTGTTGTCGTCGTTGGTTGACATCTTCGACTTCTCTGTGAGGCTCGACGACGAACAGTCCCTCTACCAAGGGAATTAACTGAAATATATTGTTGTAAGGTGGCATTAATGAAAGGAGTACTGTACATTCAAAACCTAAATGTATTCACTAACCTTCATATACACTACAGTATATCAGACATGATGAGATGTAAGTCATGAATAAAAATTAACACCATGGATGAGACCCAATTAAATGAGCAAAGGCATTACATTTATACAAGTTACGATGAAAATACATTTCATATTAAATAATTCCCTAACTTGTTAAAATTCAATGTAACTGCTTTGTAATTAAAATGATTTATCTTTACAGCAAAATTTAAGTAAAAAGCTACTATATACATAAAGTCCATCCAAATACTTGCATGACTTTTAAATTTTAGGTACAAGGAAAACCCAATTTAAGCCAAAAAAAAAAAAAAAAAAAAAAAAATAGATGTAAGATTTACATATAATTTACCCTGCATTAGCAAACCTTTTTCAATACAGTACAATAATTTTGATTAAGCATTTAAGTAGTTTTGGTAGTCAAGCCATCAAAAATTATTCTAAATTTTCTACAAGTTACAAGAGACAACAAATAGAGCAGAATGCAGGTTAGGACACTGCTGTCACAAAACAGAATTCCTCACAAAAGTGCTCTCCCATTTAACACAGTGGGTAACTATAGGAAGATTAACAGTTAGATGGATAGTTCTGATAGATATAAAGTGTACCTTATGCATGTACCAGTATATACATACAGCTTAGATAGATGGGTTAGTGAAAGACGTGCAACATAATTAACACCCGAGAGCTAATACTGCACAACCCAGCCAACCACTCACATGTAATAACAATGCCTTCATCCTCATCACTACTACTGTCAGGCACTGTCAGTGTGACCCTCTTTTCTGTTTTGGTAGTCATCTAGGATTTCTTGTGCCAAAGTCAAAAGTGACAGCAGATTTTTGCTCCAGTCACTGCAAAAACACATATACCTTGTTCTTTATCACTGCTATTCTTTTGAACAAGAACTTTAGTTGTCTTTTCTGTTTTCACATTCATTTCAGAATTCTGTGGAATGTAGTTCCAAAAATGAAATGGTCTTTTGTTCTGCACAATAACTCTTACATACAATATAAACACAGCATTAGCCTCATATTCTTTCTTAAATTTATGAAAAACATATACTGTACAAAATACCAATGTACAATTTACAGTATATGCTTCAATAATTGTTTACACATCAGTTTTCTAGCTGTAAAGCCACTGATGTGCCTGCAATCTATATACAGTATGCTTATTATATTCAGGTACACAATATAATCCAGCAGAGTTAACTCAAGAACATCAGAAAATAATGTATTTTTCCAAGATGACAGGTAGAGAACTGATTTGCTGTCTATTTCAGATGTACAAGAATATCTCATCACCAAATGCCAAATTAATAAAGTTGTGTTTAATTGCACTTGGCCTTATATTCAAGGCAAACAGAGCAAAACATTGTTATAAATATACAGTAAAAGAATATAAAAGAGAAACAAGGTAATTAATTATATAGAGAAAGCACTAAGATAAAACACAAACAAATATTAAGATATCTGAATGAAACAGATAATACAAAATACTGCATATATAGACAAATTTATTCAAGAGGTGGGAAATAATGCCTCTTATTCAAGAGGCATTTGGGAAGAAAATTCCAAGAGCAGTACTGTACTAAAGTGACTACACACCACAGGGTTAGCTGATAAACAATTAACACATCAAATGTACTGATTCCAATCTCCTGCCTGGTCAGGTGTCTACACCAACACTCAAAGAAATAATTCACAAATTAATTATATTCTTTTGTCTGAGGGTAATCACACATCCTTCAAACACAATAAGCTCTTTTTCAGGCATTCACTGGCCACTCAAACCTTTCCAGGAATATCAACTTGATTGTTATGTATTATAATTTAAGAATGAATGATGTATATAATGGTTTAGCAGGTATACAGCAAAGACTAACATGAATCAGCAGAGAAAGCATGGATATCCCAAGCTGGATACTTGGAATTATTCAGGAATGATTGTCACAATGAGATGGCTTATTGACAAGCATTTTAAATCCTATTGAAATCAGCTGCATGTTACATGAGCACTGTGTTCAGAGTGATTTTGGTACAGGCTAACCCCTAAATCTGTTGATGTCAAATGCTGAGAGTATAATTAATTTATATTAGTAATTCTTAAAATTGTCATAACTTTTTGGAGGGAGCTCCCTGGTGGTTCCCTGAAGCTATTTTGTTGAGATTGCCCCATGCTAATAGGTCACAGTAGTTGCCAAAATTCTGTTTAGCCTACCAGGGACCAAATCCTGACCCTCTCACAGAAGTGATGGAAGCTGATGACAATTCGCCACCTTCCCCTTGAAAAAGCTTCCAGAAAGTTAGCAAAACTTTACAGATAACTGGAGGATTCACAGAAAACGAACCCTCAAAACTGCCAAAGAACTCCACAAATAAGTCACACAGAACAAGGGATTCACTCAAACCAGCTTGAAACTCAATAGTACCAATTACCAGCACCACTAAGTGGCCCAGCCCCTGCCCTTAGTCGACTTCCCATCTTATTTCTGGATGATTTATCATCCAACCCAACGACCACCAAACATACCTGGAGGGAGGTGGTGGTGGGGGGGGGGGAGGTAATCAGAGATCCACCAGGGCTCTTCCAGAAAGAAGCATTTCATTATACCCAATGCTCAGTTTGTGCTAGATGTATTGTAAATATCTGTACTATAAAAGTTTCAGAGAACTAAGTGAATGCTAAAAAGAGTTTTAAATGGCTGTACTTCCTGCTCATTTCAGCTACAACTGTAGTGATTTTTATAAATCACTGCCAAATAAAGCTTTCAACTCTAAATCAAGAATTTAAATATAGTATTATTATTATTATACTGTACTGAGTATGTGTTATGCTATTAATACAACTTTCTATTATGTAAATACTGTAGTATACTTTACTGTAATTGTGTAAACTCAATTATAAATTACCCAAGCATAAAACCATGCATTTATTAATAGTTTATATTTGATTTGATTACATAACATAATAGCTTCTCAGAATGGAATTACTGCACAAGTGATTAGTAGCCTCATATTATTGCAATTCAATTATTCAATGACACATACCCAAATGAATTTTATTTATATTATTACCATACAGTATTATTATTATTATGATATATTTGTTTAAACCTGTTCAGGAAGATAAAGTGGTATCACAGGAATGCTGCCACAAGATCACGAGGTGAAACATTTATACTGAAGGGTCCTGACAGCTGAGTGGACAGCGCTCGGGATTCGTAGTCCTAAAGTTCTGAGTTCCCCGGTGGAGGTGGAAACAAATGGGCAGTTTCTTTCACCCTATTTACTGCTGTTCATCTAGCAGTAAATAGATGTTAGATAGCAGTAAATAGATGTAAATGCTGGGAGTTAGACAGCTGCTACAGGCTCCTTCCTGGGGGTGTGTAACAAAAAGGAGCCCTGGTCGAGGACCAGACCGTGGGGACACTAAGCCCTGAAATCATCTCAAGATAACCTCAAAATAAGATACAGTACTATAAGATAGAATTTCTGTTGTCCAAAGTTGGAGGCCAGATGCTTCAGGCTAGCCATGCTAAAATTTACAAGGAGAATGGTCTAGGGTACAGGATAGATGCAGGCTGATCAGGTGTAGGCCTAAGTTAAATGATTTAAGAAATATTAGTAATTATAGAAACCCTTCACCCTTTCCATGTGATCTTCATGAGTTAAGTGTGAAATATTTGGTGTGATTCCCCTTAAGTTTCTGGTGATCTTAGTAATATATTTTCTGAGACCCATATAGTTTTTCAGAGCTTCTTAATAATAAATTTTCTGAGAAGAGGGAGGTGGAGGAAGCAGAAGGGAAGTGGGGGAGGGGCAGGACGACAAGGGTGCCTCTTAATAATAAATTTTCTGAGAGAAAAAGGGGGGGGGGCACAGGGGAAGACAAGGGAAGGGATAAAGGGGAGATGGACGAGTAGTAAATAGGTGCCAAGGAGTTTGGCAATTATTATAAGTTGCATCCTAGGGAAGGTCAGTCACCTCTGCAATGCCCATTTGACCAAGTATCTAACCAGGCATGCTAGATAGACAAGCAATTTAGACAGGCTGCATTGAACTACCTGTTTTGCCCCAATCCCCTCACCAAAGAAATGTGTTGCCCCCTCACCAGTGGCCGCACTCACTAGGTAAGCTCAACGATCAAATGATGGAATAATAGGGAATATACGGGTCTCAATTTACGGCCAACAGGTTTCACTTGTGCACCACCACAGCAGGCAGAGGAGAGGTGCAGACGCCGCCACACACCTAGCGTGAGCGGGGGGGGGGCACATGAGCCTTCACCACATCAGTTTTTAATTAAATTAATTAATTAATAACCTCCCTTAATATTTGTTATGGGGATCTTCGCTGTAAACCCCACTGCACAGTATGGCCATGTTGTCACCAGACTGGGTCGTCAATGTAGAATTGCAGACAGAGGTTCAAGACTAAAGGCTGTACCAGGATACCATCCTAACCATGGGGGCAATGTCAGAATAGCAAAAACATATATATACATCACATGCGAACAAGCCTGAATGGTCCCCAGGCATACATACATCACATATTATAACCTTATCTGATACTGCCGACAATCTGCTTCCTCTAGAGCTTATATGCTTAAGACTGACTTTTTGTTTTAAATGAAGAAATGAGGATAATCCTCATATTTCTGTGGTACTGTAACTTTATATGATGATGTATCTTGATATTTTAAGCATCAGCGATAACTGAAGTTAAAGGTTCAATTAAAAAGTCTATCAAGATATCTACCCTACCCCAATCCCTAACAGACGGCTTCAAACGTTTTCATCGAAAGGTCAATATTATAAAAAAAGAAAAATTACTAAAATTAGAACTGGACTAAAAATGACAACAAAGGCACTTCTATGCACCGTGGGCGACCACCACCTTCAAAATTACTTTCCTTCTGTTCTCA